AACATATCACATTATTAACACACTTCCTCAAGTGGTTCTTAAAACACATAATCTAGAAACCAGCATCAACGCGCATAATGTCCAGCCCTCCTTGACTGTCAATCAGATCATCAATATCACTCCAAAAAGATACAGTGTAACTCGTCAATACTCATCCATAAAGATACCAATGTATACTGCTCAACTACCTCATCCAATAAATCAGTCACAGTGTATACTCGATCAATACACCATCAAAGATACAGTGTAATACCGCGATCAACTAATCATCACATCCAAAGATGCATCACGATCAATAATCAAATAAAGACTACCACGTGTATAACTGAGTCAACTAATCATAAGAATCACAGTTAAGCTATCCCCCGATCAATACCATCTCCATAAAGATACAGTGTATTCTGTAACACCACACAGCTATAAATGACTCCTTACAACAGACCATAAGAAACACAAGAAGGAACATGTTCGCGTTTTCCTGCCCAAAATCATGCATAATTTTTCCATAATACTAAATGTAATTTATAGCTAAACCACCACAACACTAGAAAACCCGCGCTACTAGCTGATTGTCGTCGACCAGTGCAATATACTGCTCAAGAAGTCTGTCGATACAGCAACAACTGTTATCGAAGTTGCCTATACACTGGCTAAGACCGCCTGCTGAATGTTAACTAATAAATCAAATAATCAAGTACATCAATAATAATCATCATTATACTCTATCTTAACAAGCCTACATGCGCCCGAAGAATATACAATCATTTCAGGAGCAAAAAGAAGAAAAACTGAATCATGAAGTCAAGTTTACAAATAAACGTGAGGAAGAGGGCTAAACACCAACTTCTACTCCGGCTGCATTTTATATGGTTTTAAGTCCTAATCGGGCAAGAAAACAAAGCACATAAGGCCGAGATGACCTGATCTTTGAGACGCTCCTTATACTACCAGTAAAAACAAGTTTGTTACCTCTTTTTTCAAACTCGAGGTCGCCAGCCAAGGGTTTGCCTGCCGGTTCGATATCTGAAACAGGCGTGGTGTTGAACACTGGAATCTTGTGACTAAGTCAGTTTGGTATGAGACAACTGCTGCTCTGGTGACAGATAATGATGTGTGGGCCACAACAATCTGTCAGCACGTGGATTACTGTACTCCGTTTGCTTTTTAGGCACAACTCTACATATACTCATAATATCATCAAACATTTTCAAACCAACGGCCCACGAAAAAAAGCCTGAAATCCTGCAGACATTTACTAAATGCAACTACTTAAAAATACTTTAAATGGGGAAACTTAGGCAGAATGTGAATTCTAAAGTTTTATTGGATCTCTAACACACCAACAAAATAATGAGTATAGATTAAAGATAAAAATTTCATTTTAATTTCACCAGGCTTTTAAAGGACTCAGACAAAAATAAGAAAATAAACAGGTTTCCATTAGATCCTACTGGTCTCTGTCAGAGGTTATATTGTTTTTAAGATCTCTTCTTTTCTTTTCTACAGAGCTGCTGCCTACAACACACAGTTTAACACAGTAGGATGGAAGATTACTACTTCAAATTGTCAATGAATTCTACTCTTCTCAGTTGGTATTTTTTAGCTCATTGTGTTGATCAGCCAGCAGTTACGAGATGTGAAATGTTGGAGCAGGACTGTCGCTGATGATGGTTCCTGACACGTGATGGAGCTTTTCTGCTGAGCGCCGCAGTGGATCAGCACGGTTTGATGTCCGGAGGTCTCAGAACGACACGGGTCTTCTGTTTCTCGAACGGACATCCTGTCTTTCAAAAGCCGAACCTTCCAGCTTCTGTTACATATTTATTGAAACAGTCGCAGAGTGAGACGTTCTCAACACTGACTGTAAAAAACAAACTCATTCTCCTGTTTTATTTAAGTTCAGAAACTGTTGTGATCCCAGCTTCTTTATATTATTATTATTATTGTCGTACGTCGCTGAAGGTCTGTAAAGCGTAAAGTTACCACCTAAAGCAGCGGTTCCCAACTAAATTGTGGTGTCCACTTCCCTCACTTTCTATGAACTTGTCCTGTCTCTTATCATTCATCTTTCCATCTCTGTGGGTAGACTATTACCGTTAAACGACGTCAGACGAATGCACCGCGCGATTAACAAATTCTAATCTAGCAGGAAAGTCAGTAAATGCTAATGAGAAACCCTCGCTAGCATCGTGAGCGAGGTTCATCACAAAGAAATCAAGATCATCGCTCAGAGATAAGTTCACTGATACCCGAAGCGATCCTATTCAACAGCAGAAAGTTAAAGGCAATTCCGGCGCCAAAAGTGAACCTGGGGCTTATACCATTTATTTAACCGACGTTGGTCCTGTATCTCTGGATACTTTTTACATTCTAACCTCGCACGACGTGACCACGCTTTTAGCACAGAACCCGCGAATTAACCCATTAATAGTCACGGGGCACAGAGTAAATGTGAAACGAAAGCTATTCTCTACTACCACTAACAGGCTCAAAAAGAACACACTTAACACAGATAGCATAATAGGGTCCTACTCTAAACCGAAAGTATTGAGACTTTGTAAGTAAGACAGTCTATTAAAAAGCATAGCTAGAAGAAACAGTAACCACGTATACAGGCGGCCGCGACATCTTGGCAAAACAGTCGCGACCAGTCAAACTCTCTGAAGACCCCACTGTTGACCTTGAAACGCACATCCCTCGCGTGAACTTCGGCTGCTCGCACGAAGAGAAGCACTCCAACGCACAGAGACTCACTACTATCACTAGTGCTTCACAGGACACCACACTGAGAGACGATGGCGGATTACCCCTCTCAACCCGACCCCCCCCTCCGCACATCGACCACACGAACCCTCTCATTTGATCGGACGCCTTACCCTTTTCGAGCCGGACACACTCCACATGACCAGAGCCCGGGCGAGCCTCCGTGAAAGACGCTACGACGCCAAGAGAGAGACCGACGCCTACGAGGCCCTAGTCAATGCTGCACACATCCACGCCTCGTACCCTCCGGAAACCTGGTGGCGTATCCGCGGACCCACCTTGTAAGCTATGGCACGAAGAGAGGCCTGCTGTCTGCACCGGAGTGGGACTGCTTGCTTCACCAGACACACCCCAAGAGACGCAGCTGTTTTGTACATCTGAAGATTTCCCATCTCGACTAAACAGCGGCTGTACTTGAAACTTTTTTCCATGTCCCGATAAATTCGAGGCGGCGACCAAACCGGAGGGACCAGATGGGCAGGTATCCACTGACGTCAACGTAACACTCCAGCGGACTAAAGGGAGTTTGGTGCAGGGAGATTTAGTTGGATTCAAACTGCTTATATATATATATATATATATATATAATATTTTTTTTCCTTGCTGTCAGACAGGCGGTCTGCCCTCCTGCAGATGTCTTACTCTCTGCAGCTCTTCTTCATAGAACAGCAGCTGGTCCACCTGGAAACCAGCATCTGGTTGCTCCTCCAGGTGTCTCAGAGACTCTGTGACGCCATCATCACCATCGTGCCGCCACCGCCACCTGGCCTCCTTCAGGTTCTCATACAGCTTCTGGAAGACGTCTGAGCCCAGCCGGCTGCGGACAGACCTGCAAGGAGGACGTGCTATGGTTAATCAACATAACGTAAGTCCACACACCCCAACAGGTGGTCTGTCGGATCCATCAGACTTTCTGCTGTACTGTAAAAAGATTTCTTTCTGTAAAACTTAATGAAGAAATAAAATCTCTGTTTTGACCCCCTATCTGGCGCACTTAATACCAGTCACACAGACAGGGATTGACAGTCAGACTGAATGAGACTCTCAGCTGGATTTCAGTTCAGACTGAATTTTAAGAAGAACTCTGATTGATTCACAGCAACAGGTCGTCTGGTTTATGTTTGAGTGACAGCTCGGTAGGGAGGGCGACGATATCTGTGGATGTGTTTCTGTACTTGATTACTGACATAATAACTGGCAACTTTAAAGTCCCTGTGAAACAGGAAGCAGAGTTATGCTTGATTTTAAATTAATGGGGACTTTAAACCTAATTTTAACCATAATCCTCAATTAGTCTCCAGTTTCCATGTCCTCACTTTTCAACAGCGTCCTCACAATTAAGGTCATAATAAAGGACCTCATGAGGATAGAAATACATGAACGTGTGTGTTTCTTCCAGCAGTAAGTTTCAAAAATCTCAGCAGTTTTGACCTTCGACTAAATATCTGAAGATGTTTGGGCTGTTTGACTCCACTCCTCCTTCTCCTCCTCCTCCTGGGGGGGTGGTATGACTGACAGGGTATTGCTCAGGACGGCTGACTTCCTTCCTGTTTATCTCAGTCCGTCACAGGTGTGTGACTGTGTTTCAGCTCCTGTCAGCAGGTAAACTGATGTTTTTTCTTCTTCTTCTCAGTGTGACAGACAGCAGCTCTCAGGTCAGCTGACAACACCATCACCGTCTTCTTTCCCTTTCCTCCGCAGACTGAAGGTTGATCGTAGATGCAGGAAAAACTTGGAGAAATGATTTTGTCTTTATGTTCCAGGTTGATTTTACAAGATAAACATCAGCAGCTGTCAAAACTCTCGTCAACATTGCAGTTACTGTTATGAATACGTTTTTATAACGATAGTGTGACTCCACAGCTGTCAGCGATGACACAAAATGTTGCTTGACTGAGTTGTGAAGATGTTTTTACTAGAAATCAGAGTCCTGTTTGCTTCCACATATTTACTTAATTTATTTAATCATGCTAATATACTGAGGCTAATGCTAACAGGTCCCAGATATTTTCTTTATAAGAACACGTGAGAGAACATGAAGGAACCAAACACAATGCAGCCGAAACTAAACACTGAAGTGTTTGACTCTGTCAGACCTCCTCTTCCTCCTCCTCTTCCTCTTCCTCCTCCTTTTTCTCCTCCTCTGTTTTATGAGGAGCTCTCGGAGCTGACAGCCTTTAATTCCCACACAGAGCAGCTGTGTGTGTGTGTGTGTCTGATGCTGTTGCCATGGTAACGAACTGACCCCGGTTGAACCGGGAAGCACCAGGTTTTGTCTCGGTTTTATCAACCCCTGTATCCCCAACCGATCACGTGACCCTTCCACCAGCAGCCAATCAGAGGAGAGCGACAGGTCTGCACTGATTATTACGTCCACGAAGCTGAATGAAAAATAGAAACTGAGATTATCAGCAGTTTGTGTGTGCCGATGATTTCTTAGATCAGCATCACACTAACTCCTCTCAGCAGTTCCTGCAGTGGAAATGTGGCTGCTTGAGTCTTGTGTTTTAGGCTACATCGCGTTTTAATGCCTTCCTTCATCGTCTGTGAGGTGAAACCACCAGATTTTCACACAGTCAGACGATGTAAAAGTCTGCGTTACGGCTGCACAGTTAATTTAAATCAGAATCACAATATGGCCGAATTCAATATGTGAATCCCAGAAACGTTTTTATATCAGAATAACGAGCTGTCTCAGCGTTTTTAAAAGGGAAGTTTTGTCTTTGGTTTTTACATATTTTGTCTCCCTGGTGTTTATTTTTAATTATGTTTAGTATTGTTGTCATTGTATTTATTTTATGTACGGTTGTTCACATTGTTTGTACGTGTTGTTGCTATGTGAAAAACTTTGGGCTGCCTTCATCTCCAGATGACCAGCAAAGTCACATCATCATCAGTCACTACTATTA